TTCCTGCTGCTTAAGACCAGGTTGGCAGTCCCTTCCCAACCCTCATTCCTCCCTCAGCCCTCCCACGTGTCTCCTTCTACCTCTCACTGCCTCTCTTGCTGCCTTTTCATCTTTCCTCCATTCATTGATGTTCACCGTGATTCTACCTTCTACTCTCCTTATGCCTCTACACACTCTTCCTCCACAAATTAATCAAGTCTTGTGATTTCTAATTACTATTCGCTGCTGACTCCCAAATCCAAGCATCCCTTTTCAGCTCCCTATTTCTATTTCTGTGAGCCTACTGGACATTTCCAACTAGATCTCCTAAATAGCAGAGTTTGTTATTTTCCACAACTGCTATTCCTTTGTATTTTCACCGAAAAGTGGAAAAGGGAAGGCTATATGATGAGGAAGGGTATGGGGGTCTCTGGGACCCCATCCAGCAGCCAGGGAATGTCCATATGGAAATAACTGTGGAGACGTGGGCTTCAGGACCCTGTCAGCAGTGTGGTACATGTAAGTGTGAGTCCACTGGTAAAGCTAGTGAGTACAGCAGCTATCTTTTCAGGCCCCTTCCCCAAGCCTCCGCTTTGTATGGTTTGGATTTTATGACTGGAGATCTTGAGTAAAGGAGTACTTTAAGCTTTTCGGACTTCCTGCAGAGGCACAGGGTGGAGGTTGAGAAGTAGACTCCACCCCAGTCTCTCAGTGTCATCCAGCATGACACTCTTTTCTCAGAGAAAAGAGAAAAGAGTCGCCATGAGAACCACGGCAAGAGGTTATCTAGCTGGACAAGTGGTAGGCCAAGTTCCCTGATTATTTTATCCCTTTCCAGACAAGCCTCCCTTCCACACACACATACACCTTGGTCAGACATAAAGAAGCTTGGTGTTCCTGTTACATATTCCCTGCCCTTACCTAAACCACAGAAACATTCTTGAATCACCTCAAGGCTCAAAGACCCCTTCCATCCATCCCCAACATCGCTCCTGGATTTTCTAGAGTAAATCCGATCTTTATCACTCCCTTTTCTTAAACTTCTTGAGAGTTTAAGCACTGCTCCCTCCCCCACCCCCATTGCTTTCCTTCATTGTCCACACAAAGTAAAGCTTCTTAGCTGCACACCCAAGATCCTTCTGTTACTTGACTTTGTCTAACCTCTCAGCCTTTGCTCCCCCCATCTGACCGCATGCATCCTGGGCCCCAGCAGCTCTGAACTGCTTCCTGGGACAGGCTATGTGCTGTCAGCCTAATGAATCCCACCCAAGTTGGCCTTCGAGGTTCCACTGCTATGTGACTTCCCCTGAAGATTTGTCTTCCCTCTTCTTTAAGAGCTGCTCTTTGTTTCCTAAAACAGTTCGTTCATTTTCTCTCTCTTCCTTCCTTCCTTTGTTTCTTTCTTTCTCTTTTTTTCTTTCTTTCTTTCTTTTTCTTTTTTTCTTTCTTTCTTTCTTTCTCTCTCTCTTTCTCTTTCTTTCTTTTTCTTCCTCTCTCTCTCTTTCTTTCTTTCTTCCTTTCTTTCTTGAGACAATGGTCTTGCTCAGTTACCCAGGTTGGTCTTCAACTCCTAGGCTCAAGCAATCCTCCTGCCCTGGCCTCACCAAAGTGCTGGGATTACAGTGAGTCACCACAGCTGTCCTGTTTCCTAAGTGCTTTGATAGCATCTTTTGCAAACTTCACTTAACATCTACATATCACAATATACAGGAATGGATTATTTGCTTGTCTACTGTCTCCCAAAAGGAAAGAACATTTGCCTCATCCATCTTTACCCTCAGCAAAATGCCAGGTGCAAAGGGGCTCCTGATAAATGTATATTGAAGAGAAAGAGGAGGCTGACAAGCAGGAAACATGAGGAAATTAGCATGATGGATACTATGCCTCAAAACCAAAGTGACAAATGACAAAGTAATTCTCTCACTATCTTGAGAGGCTCAGGCCAGGCTGCCTGGGTTCAAATACCAGCTGCACCACTTAACTAAACCTTGTAGAAGTTACTTAAATTTTTGGTGCTTCAATTTCCTCAGCTTTAAAAAGGAAATAATGGTACCTACCACATAGGATCATTTTGAGAACTAACAAGGCATTTAAAGGGCTTGACACAGTGTCTAGGACATGATAAGCCCTTAATAAATATTATCTACTGCTGTTATAATGATTAGCTATCCATCACCCAGCACAGCTTATTTAACTGGTTTCTATTAAGTAAAAGTAATTATTGTAGTAAAGTTGCATAAAATACTGAAATGAATCTTTGTCATTCTTTTGGCCACCTAACTCAAAATGCACTTCCTGAGTTTGGGTAATTCCTCACCTTATGAGTCTAGGTTACCTCTCACTAAGAAGCCAACATCATCATAATCATCATCATCATCAACAATAACAACAAAAGCCAGACACAGGCTGTTCAGGACTCCCTTGCAGCAGGACTTGTAGCATATGATTCAGGTTTGACTAGTCAGACACACCCAAACCAGGTCTAGCAACAGGAGCTAGTAATGCCAAGCAGCAGTGACAGGCAAACTGCAGCACAACTATGCCCATTTTCCCATATGCAGCAGCAGTGGTGGTCCCAGTGGCGGCATCTAGTGCCACCGTTGGCTGTGCACGATCAGCTGCATCCTCAAAGGGCTATTTCTGGTAGCATGACCATGGCTAGGTGCTCGTCTGCTACTAAGCTCACCTTATTTTCCAAGCCTGTATCTCTATCCCACCCAGAAACGCTTTAACCCACCCAATATTCTTTTCTGCTTCTATCAGCCTGGGTTAGTTTTCCTTGGTGCAATGCATCCTGCCAGACTGGTACAGATGATCAGGTCAGATGGTTTCATAAAATGTAAGTACACTCTTTCTACTTTGTTTTATTGGTTTATTGATTTGCAGTGTTCTTTACTTGGCTCCTGCTCAGGGACTGTTCTTGGACGATTTTTGTTTTAGTAATGCCGGTATGTTAAAGAGGGCTTTTCTGGTTTTTGTTTTTTGACAGTTACACTTTCTCTCTTTCCTTCCCATCCCTTTTTTGGTGTGGGTGATTGTGTCTTAGGACAATCAAATTTTAATTGACTGGAATCTACCCTTAGGTAGAGAAAATCAGGCAACTAATGAGTATAAGAATAAAGGAAAACAGATGGAGAGGAACAAAATCAGTGCCCAGTGCAGAGGAGAGTATCACAACAGGCCTGTGAGCTCATTTAATGTAACTGGTTTATTTTACAGATAAAATACTTGAAACAAGGAACACACAGCTAATGACTCAGCCACAACTACAATAACTGCATCTCCAGACTTCTCATCCAGGGCTCCTGCCTCTATCCATTATACCAAGAGGCAAAAGGCAAATAACTAAAAGCAAACTGAGATCACGTTAAATTTAACCTGATTAATTATATGTTTTAGGTTTATGGTTGTATATGATACTAATTTACATTTTCAAGAGGTTTTACAATTTACAAAGCAGTTAAATCCTTTCAACTGCTCTGAGATAAGGTAGCGCTTTTTTTTTTTTTTTTTAAAGAGGTCTTGGTATTCATGTCTTGATAAATGTTTTAGCATCTCCCCTACCTCTGACTTTCCTGTCTCCCTTTTCGATTTGTTTTGGTTTTGAAGCTGTAGCTACAAAATGTGTCCATTGGGAAGAAAGCGATATCAATGCATTTGAACAAAAGGGCCCATTGATTGAAACCATCATAAAATATATGGGATGCTGTTATTAACTCCATTTTACAAATGAAGAAACAGAAGCCCAGAGAGATTAAGTGGTTTGGCCAAGATTTAATAACCATTAAATGGCACAGTCACTACAAGGTTCATTTTAAAAAAACATATACATTGAGCATTTAATGTGTCAGGCTGGGTAAGCAAGATACAGTGCTAGTTAACTCCTAGTAAGCACAAATTTCTATAACCAGTATATTACTTTCTAACCACTGTTATTGAAATTTTTATTTTACTGTCTTCTGGAATTTTAGCAGCTGGACAATCAGTAAATACTTTTCTACTTACACAAGATTCATGTAACCAGATCTGTTTGGAGACTGATCATGATATGTATTAGACTAAAAGGTCTAAAAAGCATGTTTTGCATCATTTGTCTAGATTCTCTAAAGTAAAAGTAATTCTCAAATGTCTTCGAATGAACAAAAAATTGACAAGAGTATGAAGCTGACTGCATTACTGTATAATCAATTATTGGAACCTTGATTTAACAAGCTATTTTCATTTTCAGTCCAATGGTATACAAAGAGGAAATTTTATTCTTTGTAGTTTCTCCAAATTCTTTGTAAAGATTATGAAAGTAATTTGCGAAAAATAAGCGAATTGACATGGAATATAAGGTGAATAATACATTTTTAAAATGTAGTTGCGTATAATGGAAAACGTCAGTCTTGTATATTCAGCTAAAACAAACCATTAGTGCAAGACCTAAATATTAATGAGATCCGGGGTTTGCAACGAAATATCATTGCTCTTTTTCCCCCCAGAAGTTAAAAGAAACATGGGGAGAGCTTTTAAGTGAAAACTAAAGGTGCTGGTATCACAACTGGAAATGCAAGGATGCAGAAGAAATGGTAAGATGTGGGTGGGTAGTATCCCAGTAAACAACATATACCTTCTAACAGACTTGAGGTGGCTGTCAAGCCTTTCAGACATGTGATTGATAATGAATGTCAGAGGAGCGTTTTCTTTTCCATCAACGCTTCAGGAGACAGCGGACCGCCACCAACACCGGGCAGAAGAGAACCCCTGTCACGGAGACAGGGCCGCCCCCGGCTCGCCTGGGCACGCCCCCTCCTGCCCTCGCAGCGGGGTCCCGCCCTTTCCGCCTTCCACTTCCTAGTAACCGTCCTCCCTTGCGCCATCTTCGCGGGACCCGATTGGCTGATGGGGCAACCGCCAACGGCTGTGGCGTTTAAACCTGAGCCGCTGCTGTAGCTGCTTGCCGAGCGCCCTGAGCTAGGTGGGGGTGCCCCACGCTGAAAGAGAGGTAAGTTAGTGGCCTGCGGCGTTTGACGTGACCGCATTCTCAATGTCGGGATCGGTGTCGTTCTTGAGCCGGTTCTCTAGGCGCTGTCCGCCTCGGTCTCCGGCTCGTCTTCCGCCCTCTGTCCTCCGGGATCCGGGACGGCGCCCCTCTCCGGCTCCGAGGGGTTCGTTGATGGAGTCCTGTTTTGGCTTTGAGTCGCTGCCTCTTGTTTCTGAGATTTGAGCGTCCAGCAGGGCGAGCAGGGAGAGCCACCAGTTAGGTCAGCTACTTAAGGGAAGAAATTTCTGTCTCTGGGACTGCTCTACTCGCTTGAACAGTTTCTAGGGCATTGTGAGCGCTCAGTACGTGTCTGCGGAATGAATGTTAGGGACTGCGTGCCAAAGTTCTCGAAGGAGCCCTCTCCTTTGGAGAGGCTGGCTGAAGGCGAAGAGGTGATGGAAGACTGGGAAGAACTTGGAACTTGGAACTTGAGCTACTTGATGTACAGGTGGGATTTCAGTAGAGAACAGGGACAATGTCCTATTCAGTAGAGATGTCCTGTTCTGTCCTATTCAGTAGAGAATAGGACAAATTTTTAGATGAGGTATCCAATTCAGGAGAATTGGATGTGGAACTGAGTATTTCGTATTTAGAGATAGTCGAGATGCTGGCCGGACAAGTGTCACAGAGTTGTAATAAATAGGTGCTGGTATTGAGTGCTGACTGTATACTAGGTCCTGTACTAGACGCTGTACATATATTGGCTCATTTAGTCCCTACAAGGAGATGACCTGAGTTTTTATGGTTTTATAAATCTGGAAATTGAGACGAAGAGGTGTTGAGATCACATAGCTATGAAATGTTGGAACTGGAGCTCCAACACAATTGTAATCACTATCATAATGTCTCAGTGTCTACATGGTAAATCACCCTGGAGCAGTACTCCAAATGCCTGGTTCTGGCTCCTAAAGTTTCCCTTGGTAAGGTCATTGATGTAGGGGCTGACAGGGCAATGTCAAGGAACACTCCCAGATTTCTGACATGAGGATTTGAATAGGCGATTGACAGTGCCATTTATTAAATTAAGGAATTGTGTCAGAACCAGTTTATTGGGGAGGGCAGTCCAGCTGTGGTTTCCTAATTAGTAAAATGAGATTTTGTATTCCAGACTGGATTTTTTGGGAGATGAACTAGATTTCTATGTTAGGATCCCTTTCAGGTGTGTGAGATGCAACAGTTTGAGGGGAGTTTCTGTGTTCTACTGTCTATGAGATAGATAGTGATGTTTGATTTTAAAGTTTCTTTTTGGCAAAACGTTTAAAAGAACCGTTGAGCCTTAATCTTGAAAAGTTTCTGGTTCAACTTATTCCCCATTGCAGAAATTTCTTCTGAAACCATCTTTCCATTATTTGCTTGACACCTCCCAACATCTGCTTAACACTTTCAAAGGAGACCCATTCCAAGAGTGGGCAGTTTTTCTATTGGAAAGTTCTTCCATTCATTCATAGTCACTTCTTCCACAAATGTTTATCCAGCAGCTGCTATGTGGCAGGCATATTTCTGTACTAAGGTACAGAAGCAAACAAACTTGACAAAAGTTTATGTCCTCATTGAACTTACAATTTAGTAGGAGAAAACAGATAATAAGTTAAATAAACTATTTAATTTTATCTTAGAGATTGGTAAGTTAATGGAAAAAAAATAAAACAGAAGGGGAGAATGGGGGTAAGTGTGCAATTTTTAAGTAGTTTGGACTGGGAAGTCTCACTAAGAAAGTGACATTTTGGCAAATGCTCGAAGGAAGTGAGCAAGCCCTGTGGTCATTTGAAGGAAGAGCTGATACAAAGGGAAAAAGGAATAAAATGACAGTATATTCAAGGATGGGAATTTTTAGGGAGGAGGGAAGATGAATGGTCTGCACACATGAATGTGTTGTAGCCTCTAGAAGGGGTGTGGGAGGGAAAACAGCCCCTGCCTGACAGGACTGCAGGAGAATCTGTGTCCTCAGGGTAGAGGGTGGTTCAAGAAGATGAAGAGAACATTCAGAAAAGAGATTGAGGCTGTAGAGGTTTGGTTGATGATGGAATGTGAGTTCTAGAGGACCTCATGAGTCTGGCAAGGGTAAGATAGGCAGGCTGTATTCATTTCCTTTGGCTGCTGTAACAAATTATCATAAATGAGGCATGTAAAACAACAGAAATGTATTTCCCCACAGTTCTGGAGGCCAGAAGTCTAAATTCAGTTATCACTGAATTTTTCCCCCCTCAAGGTGTATTCCCAGCTGCACTCTCTCTGGAGGGTCTTCAGGAGAATCTGTTCCTTGCTTTGTCAGTTCCTGATGGCTGCTGGCAGTCCTTGGCATGTGGCTGCATCACTCCTGTTTCTGCTGTCTTTTGTAAGGAGTCTTGTGATAGTATTTAGGCCTGCCTGGATAATCCAGGATAATCTCCCCATTACAAGATCTTCAAGTTATTCAAATCTGCAAAGGCCGTTTTTCCACATGAAGTTTAAAATTAAAGGGATCTAATAACTTTGGGGGGCCATTTTCCAGCTTACCACAGGACCAGATGAGGAATGTGTAGAGCTGAAGGGATTCGAGTGAGGGGGATGAATGTGACCCAGGAGTTGAGGGATTCTTGCCATGGTTGACATAGTGAGCTGAGTTCTGGATTGCCATAGTGATCTGAGTCCTGTGGACTCAAGGCAGGTATGGTGGGGAGGCTGAGTATTGAGGGTTAGGCAGGTGCAGGGGACAGGGTTGTTTTTTTTTTTTTAGATCTCTGCAGATAGAGGTAAGGAGGCTTGGGGAGGAAATGGAGCCATGGGAAGGTTGGTCTTACATGACTCAACATCAAGCGCTCCTTCTCAGTGAAGCTATTTCTGATCCTTTTCCTCTGCCCAGGCACAGTTAATCACTTCTCCTCTGCATTGTGTATTGCAGCTATTACTCTTGTAATACTATAATGTAATGATTTCTTTATCTTCCTGTTTCTATAATAGGCCATAAATCTAATAGACAAATTTAAGATTTCCTATTTCTCCAACCCCCTTCCCCACCTTGGATTAGGTATATCTCTTCTGTACTTCCTTTAAACTCTATGTATATCTCTAAGGTTACACTTCTTACATTGTATGAAGCACTGTCTGTACCCACATTCCATGCATTCCATGAGGGCAGAGACCATATCCTGTCATCTGTCCCCTGCACCTGGTACATGGATGATTAATGTAGGTTTAAATGAAAAAAATAATCATTTACCTTTTTGGATTATACCTTAAGCCACTTTTGATTACATTCATACTTTCAGATTTTATACAAAGTTTAGCAAATACTTAATGCACAGAATATATTCAGTCATGATTATTACTTTTTAAAATGTATTTATCAGTTATCCTTTTTCTCTTATTAATCAATACTATGATTTTTTTTTTCTTTCACTTCAGTGATGGCGTGCCCAGTGATGGAAACTGGCTCACTTTTTACCTCAGGAATTAAGAGACATGTGAAAGACAAAAGAATTTCAAAGACTGCTAAGTTGAATGTTTCTCTTGCTTCAAAAATAAAAACAAAAATTCTAAGTAAGTGCCATTAGTTTTAAAATACACTCACATTTTAACTTTTCCCCAGAATTGTTTTATGTTTTCTACCTTATTTTATCAAGTACAGAAAATCACTAAAATGACTATTTTGTTAACTGATAACTTTTTAAATTTGATCCTTCCTATCTCTTTCGACTCCTGTTAGTTGGGTGGTTTTGATGATTTACCCTAAGTGTGACAGCTGAATTTTTAGCAGTGAGGCTGCAGTGGCCCAAGACAGCTACTTTCTACAGCGCAGAAAAAAATACCAACATGATTTTTCTGGAAAAGACGTAATAAGTGTAGCAGGTTGTTCTGGCATGTTGTGGCAACTGGATGATGGGTAGTTGCATGATGTAGCACTGGGTGCTTTTATATATATGTGTGTGTGACTTTATATAGGTAATCTTACAAAGACACTGAGCACTTTGGAAATGGAATTTCATGAATTCTGGAGTTAAGGCATCAGACGGGCCAAAAAAAAAAAGGAGGTAGGAAAATTCCAAGATAAATTTTCATTACTTTTGAACATTATCTCAGTGTTCATAACCATCTTAGCAGGAGTCGGGGAGGTATCCTTTTAGTCACATTGTCTGCTGATACAGCTCTGCGAAGGACAATCACGTGTGACTTCTAAAACAACCCAGCCTCCTGGGTGCCTGTAAATCATGATGCAGCTCCCACCCAGGTCTCTAGGGCCACTTCTTACACTGGCTCTTGCTTCCTCCCTTTGGCAAGACTATTCCATACCCCATGTTACGAAGGAATATGCTGACTTTGAGGAGTACAATAGGAAAATATTATTACTCTTTATCTTCTGGAAATCCTAAGCTGGTTCTAGTCAATTTCCATTTGCTATGCCAAGGATGGCTATCCAAAACTACTCTCTCTGCCAAAGGTAAAGTACTGTTTTGGACCCTGTTTTGCAGAATCCCAAGTTTTCCCTGAGTACTTACAAAATGTTATTAAATTTTATAAAACTTATTTCACATACACTAGACTTTTATTCAGTGGTATATGTTATTGAATGGTGACATGTAAGTTAAAATTATGAAAATATAATGATGTTTTAAATGTACTAAGGGAACACACTGTATTTAAGGTAAGCTCTACCAATGAATTGACAAGGAAATTTCTTTGCTTCCAACAGAAAAGCATTTCAGGAGTGATTTAAATCATATTTACATAGTGCTTTTAAAGAGAAGTCAAGTTTCGATTGCAGTAGATGCCTAGAAATAAGAGGTAGGATCTTTTAGATGGCAGTAAGAGATCCCACGGGGTTTTGATTATCCGTCTAACATTAGAGTAAGTATGCCTCTGTCACTCAAAGTTTGAAAATGGACTTTGGGAGTATTAAGTAATTTCTTCAGTTCTGGAGCTGTAGAGACTGGCTTTAGAATTTTCACAGATTGGCTATTCTCATTCCTATGGGACATTTCCAGGTAGAGCTGCAGAATCAGTTTCTCCATTCCGTCTGCTAGTCAAACGTAGGAAAGCAGGTCGAGCAGCAAGTATCAATATTTAGTTTTTGTGACTGATCTAATTATGTAGAATGCTGTGTCTGTGCTGCAGTCCTCTTATTCCTAACTTTTTATATATATTCTGCATTCCTCACAACTCTTGAATTCATCATCTTCTGTCTAGCTTTCATTTCTTCAGCTCTAAACTGTGAGTTTATTTTTCTCAAAACTACATCTGTATTGTTACTCTCTTTTCCAATCTTCAGTTAGAACTTATAAAGTGAAATGCATTTTGTCTAATGTAGTTTTACTAAGGAATACAAAAATTTATTAAAGTGTAAGTTCAGTATTAACTCATTTTAAAAATCTTTTTACAGATAATTCTTCTATTTTCAAAATATCTTTAAAGCACAACAACAGGGCATTAGCTCAGGCTCTTAGTAGAGAAAAAGAGAATTCTCGAAGAATTGCAACTGAAAAGATGCTATTGCAAAAAGAAGTAGAGAAACTGAATTTTGAGAACACATTTCTTCGCCTAAAGCTGAATAACTTGGTATGGAAGCTATATTGTTTTTGAATTCTAATTATAACTTAAACCTTTTAGCTGCATTATTATAGAAGCTCTAAAAATATTTTTCAGATCTCCAATTGTGAAAAATTATTGAAAGTCAGTATGCCATGCAAGTCTATGTTAAAGGACAAACTGTTAATGGGTAATAAAACATGTGTTTTAAATCTGCATTCTAAATGTGTGCTTGTGTGCTGTGTAAACCAGTATAATACCTTGACCAACATTTGATTGCTAATCATAAGCAAAGCTTGGTACATTAATACATTTTTAAAAGATGTTCATAGTTCTTCCAGTGTTCTTGAAAGGAAAGGAGTTCCCAGAATGTTGTTATTCTTTTTTAATCTCAGCATTTACCTGGCCACAAGCCAAACAGAATGAAGATTATAGTTGTTTCTTTTCCTTCCAAATTTCAACTCTGTTCACAGACAGGGCAGTGAGAGCCGATGATTAGCTAGGCTACAACTATAGATCTAAATCTAAAATAAGTAGAACTTATTTATAATGGAAAAAGGACCTACTCTACTTGTGGGTTAAATTACTGTGGCTGACAAACTGTTCTCTTGCCATGTGATATATTATTATGAGAAGATAGAAAAATGTTTATAGGAAAACGTATAATTGTTAGTTCCAAAGCATTCAGTGTGTGTGTGTGTGTACATGTATGTATGTATGATATGTATGACTATTTGGACTATTTAATACTATTTGGTACTATATAATGTACCATTTTAGCTGAATGTGATCTCAATTTTTAGCTCAATGTGATATCAATTATTTTTTAAGTTTTCTCACATGGATGGCATTCATAAACGCTTGATATTATAAAACATTCCAAGTCTTAACTGATTAAAAGGGGTCTTTATTTTACATGTGCAGAATAAGAAGCTTATAGACATAGAAGCTCTCATGAACAATAACTTGATAACTGCAATTGAAATGAGCAGTCTTTCTGAGGTAAGTAGAATTTATATGTAAATAGTGTCATTCTTTACAGAGGATCACTGAGATTACTTAAATAACATCAAGGTTGGAGATTCATATTTCAAGTTTTGTGCAAAGGACTGATGATAATATCAGTTTTAACTGGCTAACAGCGTATTATCATTTTGTGTAATTGGTTATTGAAAATGTCATATGAAAATTAGGTTTTTATTAAAAGTAACAGGATTAGACAGGTTAGTGGAACATACTGGCTCCTAAACGGACTAAGAAACATGAAGACATTAGTAGAAAGGAAGCATTTTAAGTGAGGAAAGACTTTGGGGTTTTTGTTTGTTTGTTTGTTTCAAAGATGGACACAATTGAAAAACTGGGGAGAAAAATAGAGGGTGGTCCTACTTTATACTGTTTTCTAAAACAAATTCTAAATTTCCCAAATGCTTTTCATGTGGTTCTTTTTGGAGAATTCAGAGGGCTTAGGTCAACATCTAGATTAAGGAAAAGTAAAAACTGGACAGCAGGTAGATGGAGAAGCTGGAGGTGAAGGCATAGTATACAATCTTGGTAGCTACCTTCTCGAACTTACTATTTAACAGACTAACTTTTGCATACCAAGCTTTAAAATTCTTTTTCTTTCTAGTTGTTATTAAGTGGGGCAGGTGATGGGTCATATAGACATATTGTTCTAACATCAGAATGAGATAAGAAAAGTATAGAATAAAGTTTCACACATGCTTTTGTCCGCCTTCAGCTACTTTCTTCTCCATTCTTTCTTCTCCTTGTACCTCATGCAGGTGATTGCTTTCATCTGTTTCTTTATATAAAAACAAACAAACAAACAAAATAAATATTTCCTTACTTTTCTTCTTTACACAAAAGATAGCATGCTATACCAGATGTTCTATACCTTACTTTTTATGTGACATATCTTGGGGATTTCTCCAAATGATTACGTGGAGTGATTCCTCGTTCTCTTTTGGTGCTGCTTTGGATAGATCTAGAGTGGACTTGTAATCTACCTCAGTAGGCTCCTGTTGTTGGACACTTGCGTTGTCCTTTGCTGTTGGCTTGTGTTAGTGTAGAGTGCCTTTCCCTCTTGCATCATTAACTTTTTTCCTCCCTTCTGAATTATTCCCATCAGGATGCAAAAATGTTATCATCTCTCATCTTAAACAAACAAACAAACAAATAAACCTCTTATTCCACCTATTTGCCAGCTACTATCTCAGCTTTCTTCTTGCCTTTACAGCAAAGCTTTTTGAGAGATTTATTCACTATCTCTAGTTTCTATTGATCCCATTCCAACTAGGTTTTCACCACCAATCCACTAAATCCTGAAAGTCACCATTGATGTCCATGTTGCAAAAACCCATGGATAATTCTTGGTTCTTATATTGACTTCTCATGAGTTTTAGAATACTACACTCTACTAAGTCTCTTCCTACCCTTCTGGCTATTCTTTTTCGGTCTGTTTGCTGGTTTCTCTTTGTTTTCCTAAGTTTTGGGAATGCCTTATGACTTAGTTCTTGGACTTCTCTTTTCTATCTACGTTCACTCCTCCTAAATAATTTTATTCTATCTTACGGTTTTAGTTACTACTGTATACTGATGACTTTCAAATTTGTAACTCCAGCCTGACCATCTCCTCTGACCTCCAGATGATTTATATCTAATTACCTACTTGGCATCTGGACGTCTAAAAGGCATCTCAAATTTCACATTTGCCACCAAACCAGTTCCTTATGAGATTTTCATCTAAGATAATCACAACTCTCTTTTCCTATCTTTTTCTCACACCCTATATCTGATGCTTTGGCAAATCATTTTAGTTCTGCCTTCAAAATCAGTCTACAATTCTACCAGTTCTCACAACCCTCTTTCACTACCCATGTCCAAGGCACCATTATCTCTCACTTACATATTGTATTAATAATAGCATCCCAACTTGGCCTTCTTTTTCTCTTGTTTCTCTATGTATTCTCTTCTTATTATAACAGCGAGAATGATCCTGTTAAAATGTTAGTCTCTGCTTGAAACTCTCCAGTGGAGTCTTATCTATTGCTTGATATGATCTGAAAACTGAAACTCTTGTTATTTCTTCCACCTCATTTACTACTCTCCTGTTTCTTCCACTCCTTAACCTTTTCAGTGCCGTTCTCTTCCCACTCCCTCAAACAGAGGTAAGTTGCTACCGCAGTGCTTTTGTACATATTCTGTCTGCATGCAACAAGTTCTTGTCCTTCAAATATTGACTCAAAAGTGACTACAGTGAAGTCTTCCCTGGCAACTCTGCATAAATTTAAACACTCCCAACTCTTGTACCAACATTTCATATCCTGCTTTTCTTCTTTCATCTTTCTCCTTAACACTTAACACTGTATGACAATTTTGTTTATTGTTCATCCCATCAGAATGTAAGCTTTTTGAGTTGCAGGGATGTTACCAGAACAACATCTAGAACATAGTAGGATGCAATACACATGTATAAAATATTAGGTAGTGTTTCCCCAGTAAGAATGATGCTTGTTTTATATATAAATAAGTAAGGTACATATGTTTTCTGTAGTCCCTCTTTGATTGAGCTTTCTAAATAAAAATAATGCCAAATAATGTAAGTATCTTTTTAGCATGATGCTGATGTGGTCTTTTTAGGTGTCTTAGTATGATTATTTATTTTAGTAACTTTCCTAATTTTACATTTCTGTAATAAACTTCAGAAGTGATTTATTTTTCATTTAATGCGCTGCTGAATTCTTTTTTGCCAGTTTTGTTTAGGATTTTTCTATTGTTATAAGTGAGGACTCTGAAGTTTTTTTTCCATACATAGAAAAAAACATAAGACCATACAGTCTTTAGGCATTGATAACAATGATATATATACTAAGCTCATAAAAAGAATTTGGATGTCTTACTTTTTCTGTGTTCTTGAAAAGTGATACAGTATTATAATTGTTTTTCTTTAAAGGTGTGGTAGAATTATTCTGTGAAATCATCTGGACCTGGGACTTTTTTGATGAGAGTGATAGTAGCTTTTTGTTGACTTTATTTATCCTATGGATATTGGTCCCCTTAGGAAAATGTCTTTCTTTCGTATTTAGTTTTATTGAATTATTTTCCCTTAGAAAGTTAAATGTTTAAGCTTCTTAATTGATGTTCACAGAGTTGACCAGAGTAGTCTGTCATTATTCTTTAATTTCGTCTGTGTTGTATTTCCCCAGTTGATTAATTTTGTGTATTTGGGCTTTATTTGTCTTCCCCTTCCACCAAATCCGCTAATCCTCTACTACTTTTTCAGTCCTCTTTTCCTCTCTTGTTTGCAGTTTGGTGTACCTTGCCCCGTACTTGTTCTACTCT